GAACTCATGGTGGAAGAGAAGAATCACATGATGATGTCCAAGAAGGACATGGATCAAGACCAATTGCAATGGTGGAAGGACTACAAGGAGGACATCGCGTAGAGGAAGAGGATGTTCCGTGGTGCGTCCTCTACTTTTCGAGGTGACACTCCGATGAGTAGTTGTGGCGATGGCGGTGTGGACGACTCCAGCGGCGCCTATGGAGATGCTTGATGGAGCCCGCATGTGGTCTGGGAGATGGCGCCGAGGTGCAACTTTTTGGTGATGGTGCCGATGAGAGGGGGAAGATGATGATTTTGTGATGTAAACTATTAAAACATGCATCAATGATTGTCATTTGGTAGTTTGTTTGAGGTTGATTGTGTTCTTGTAGTCATAAATTGTGAGATGTCAAATGATAGATTTAAAGGTTGGGGTTGAGGCAAAGACTAAAACCCTCAAACCCAACCCTTAAAGCAGTTTAAGGGTTGGGTTTGAGGGTTCTAGTATTTGCCCCTGTTTTTCAACCCTTAAAAGTGCCAAAAATTGGCACTTCTCAACCCTTAAAACTGCTTTAAGGTTTGAGGGTTCTACTAGACATGCTCTTACCAGCTCAGGCGCGCAGCCAGTGGCACGACACAACAGATCTGGGCCGTACCCAGCCGCATCAGCCGCCACGAGCGTGCGCCCACATGGGTGCAGCCCTCCATGCCCAGGTCGGGCCTGCGCAACCCCGCCGCAGCCGCTTGCCAATGCGCCACCACACTCCTTGCCAGCGTAGCGTCACCGCCCAATGCTGCCTGCCCGCGCCCACACCACCAAGCGGGAGGAGAGAAAGCCTCGCCGCCACCAAAGCCCATCGGCGCGCCCGGCGGTGGCGAGGAGAGGGAGGGTAGTGGAGGAGGCCTCTGCCGGCGGCTAGGGTTGGCCCGCCCCGGTCGCCCACAGGAGCGATGCTGGTGCAGGTCACTTGGGGGCTTTTTTTTTAGTTCTGTTGCTACATTTGTTTTGATGGTACTACGGCGGGCTTACGCCGGCCTGAACCTTTTCATTGATAACCAGATAATATTTACAGCAGAGGAACAGAGGGGGAGGAGGAGCAGAAGTATCCGGCTTTAGTTTACAATCTCATAGATAGGTGAAACAACATGGTACCCCAGTCGCGTAGCAAACCTTGCGCTTGCTTATTATTACATCTGCTAGACCAAAGCAGAACATCATCAGCGGCAGAACGAGCGATGAGGTGAACCGGTCGAGTGTCGTTCCTGAAGACTTTTGCATTCCTTCTTTTCCAAATGTTCCAAAGGATGGCGATGATTATTGTAGAGCAAACTTTATTCTGCATGTCGTTGGCCCAAAGATCCGAAAGATCTGCGGGTATATCTGGAGTGAGAGAGGAGAGTTCTCCCCACAGAGTAGTGAGCTCCGGGCAGTGCGGAAGCAGGTGGTTTACGGACTCCGTCCCCGGACAGAGAGGGCAAGACGGAGAAGTAGAGATGCCTCGACGAAAACGCCGTTCGTTGGTGAAGAGACGATTCTTGTGTGCCAGCCAGAGGAAAATTCTACATTTGTTTGGAGCGAAATTCTTCCAGATGGCCATTGCCAAGGGATCGACAGGCTCTCCCTCCCACATAGCCTTGTATGCCGCATTGCAAGTCAGAGGCTTGCCATCAGATCGACCTGTTCAGCAGTCTGGTTCCTGCAAATTCAAGGAAACAGAAGCCAGCAAGTTGCGTAGGTAGCCCAGTTCATGTTCAGCAGCATTAGTTAGGCGTGGAGCGAGATCGAGGCATAGATCCGGTGAGCTTAGAACCCTGGCAACAGAAGCCGAGGGTCAGAGAACATGAGAGAACAGAGCAGGGTACCGTGAAGCAAGAATATCTGAAGAGTGCGGAACCCAGAGATCAAGCCAGAAGGCGGTGGAAGTACCGTTGCCGACGTCCACTTTCGTTAAGCTCCGAAAGAGGGGGATCCCCTTGGCGATATCACGCCACACATGGGAATCATGAGCATGAGTAGTACCTAGGTCCTGGCCTTCGGACCACCCATATCTAGCAGCCAATGGAGAAACCCCGCGAGCCGTGGATCGTGAATGAATCTTGGTTAAATGAGAGAGAAGGAGGCAGGAGTTGAGGTGTTGAAGAGAAGAGAAACCTAGTCCCCCACGAGTGAAAGGTGCACACACAAAATCCCAAGCAACTTTGCATTGGCCTCCCGAAACTTTGTCTTGACCCGCTCAAAAAAAGGCTCTGCATCGTTTATCTATTTCAGCGACAACACCCATCGGCAGCAGCAGAGAAGTCATGGCGTATATAGGTAGGGCTCTAAGAACAGCTCGAACCAGGATAGCTCGCCCAGCAATAGAAAGAAGGATCCCATGCCATCCAGCAAGGCGGCGGTCAATCTTGTCGATAATGAAAAAGAAATCGGCGATGCGAAGTTTGTGGGTAGATAGAGGAAGGCCGAGGTAGGACTGAGGGAAAGAAGCAACCGGGCAACCAAAAATGTCGGCTAAATCGTTGGCTAACTCAGGAGGCACGTGGATGGGGGCAAACGTGCTCTTATGGAAGTTGATATGCAACCCCGTGGCTTGAGAGAATTGAAGCAGGATAGCTTTTAAGGTCTGAAGTTGAGCAGCCTCCGCCGGCAAGATGATCAACTTATCGTCAGCATACTGAAGAACTGGGCAAGGTAGCTCCTGATTAATTGGGTGAGCTAACCTATCATCATTGGAGGCCTGGTAGATCAGACGCTGAAGGACATCAGCAACAATAATAAAAAGATACGGAGAAAGCGAGTCGCCCTGTCGTAGCCCCTGTTTGCAGTTGATCCAAGGGCCCGGCTTGCCATTCAGAACAACAGCCGACTGACTGGAACGGTTCAGGCTGTCAACCCAATTGCACCAAATCTCGGGGAAGCCCTTGGCAAGCATGATAGCTGCCAGAGCGGTCCAGGAGACCGAGTCAAACGCTTTTTTGACATCAAGTTTAAGCACAATAGCAGATTTTTTGCGCTTAAAGCACGTTTGAACAACCCCATGCATATTTGGTCAGGAAAAACATGGATCACCCATCCAGTTTTTCTTTTTTCATACTGCCCCATGCATATTTCGTCAGGAAAAACATGGATCACCCATCCAGTTTTTCTTTACACTACATACTCGAGTTTGATAGCCATGATGGTGTCGACTACCATAAAAGAATAAAGATGAATGCAACTATACCTGAATGTTTTGGTACCTGAACGCAACTATAAAGTTAGGGATTCCTCACGACAATGTATCATTTAATAAAACATGGTAAAAGGGGCCTTCCACATTCCAGATTATACAGTGCAAATTTATAAGATCAATTTTAAATGGACAATTTTGTACACAAACGTGTTGTAATTGAAAAGATGTAACTAGGTGGGTGGAGCAAAATTTGAGTAGTAGATATGAAAAAAAAACAGATGTTAGAAATATAAGAAAGAATGGTAATCAATTTTGTTACTGCAATCCCAAATTCCATAAATTTAAATCGGAGTGAAATTTTATCTTGTTTAACTTTATAGCCCAAATTCGTGCAATGGGGAAAAGTGCCTGACCTACAAGGATACGCTTTGCTGATCCAGACAATTCAACCTTATAGGAGTGTGATGTCTGAAGCTAGCCAGAAGCTTGGTTCATAAACATAAATACATATTTCTACTTTTCTAGGACTTTGTCATTCAGCTGATAAACTATAACAGGTATTAAACAATGATAACAGTCTTGGAGATAATAAACAAGACAAATACTTACTTACTTACGAAGCCTTTTATCCCAAACAAGTTGGGGTAGGCTAGATATGAAACCCTTTCACGAGGACTTCCCAGGAGGTCACCCATCCTAGTACTACTCTCGCCCAAATGGGTTTCATACCCAAAAGACTGGCTAGTTTTTACGTTGGCTCGCCAAGCCTATCACAACCCTTAGATATGAAACCCTTTCACGAGGACTTCCTAGGAGGTCACCCATCCTAGTACTATTCTCGCTCAAATGGGTTTCATACCTATGGGACTGGCTAGTTTTTACGTTGGCTCGCCAAGCCTATCACAACCCTCCTCCTTTACCCGGGCTTGGGACCGGCTATGCCTAGAAGACATAGGCGGAGATAAACAAGACAAATATAGTTGTAAAATCTGTTCTGGAAGATATAAATCTCTTACAAACGCAAGAAGTTCTGAACCAACATAGGATGATGTTTGAGACTAAGTTATAGACAGATTGTTTCTAGGAAACTCTTCAACCCAATATGGCATGTATGAAACATAATGCCATTTCCTGTTCATTAGTTAACAATTTCAAATGTACATAAACCTTTGGGTATATATTTTATAAGACTTGAACTTTCGCTGTATCAAATTATGTTTTCTAAGACTTCAACCTACAATTCGGCAAGCCTAGGAATACTGCCCGGGTTAAGGTGATCTGATCAGAGGTATTTTTCTCTCTTTTGGGGGTATGTGTTCGGATCAGACTGTGAGAGGCATAAGACTTTGAGCCTATGATGTTGCCGGTTTGGCATCCTTTTGTCGTTGGGAAGCTATTAGGCCTGAATGATTATTATGTTCCAGCATAAGAAAGGTTACCACCCGCCAAATACATATTTTATCCTCTATTGCTTCAGAAAAAGCAGGAATATTTCAAGGGACAGTGGGACTGGCAGAATCATTTTTGTTGGCCAATTTATCGCAAAGAAGTTACAGATTTGGAGCTAACAGGGAGCTCGGCTCTAGCAGAAAAATACATATTTCTGGGCAGTTGTGTTTCTAGGAGTGCATGATTCAAAAAAAGAAACTGTCTGATAGATCATTCCATAGAAAGTAGTACAAGTAAAAAATTAACAGTCCTCACAAGTAAATCTTATCCACCAGAGATTAACCAATCCTTATAAATACATATAAATTAAAGATGACACGACATCTTTTGCAAGCCATTTTTTGCGCCACTCAGGTAAATGGCAAATAAAATATTCTCGTATGTGAGATGAATTTCTAGATTAATTGTTCGAAGGAAACTCTTCAATCCAACATGGGGTGTATGGAAAAGATTTGATCCTCTCCTGTTCATTACTTAACTGTTTGAAATGACCATAATCATTTGGGTATATATTCCCTAACTCTTCAATCTTGAAGCCATTCAAATGATATGCCAGTGCGGTCCACTCTGATGTACTACTCAAGAAGACAATATCTTTGTATGGGTGAAACCCAAGTATCTCAATGTCTTCATCATATGAATCATCATAATGCTCTTCATCCCAATAACACTCTTCAACCATATCACAATTGTTAGCAACATTACGATTGTTGTACTTCCAATCCAATTTCTTTTCAATTATTGCTTTCTTGTTGTCTTCTAAGCAACAATGCTTAACCAAGTTCTCGTTTTCAACATCATCGTCAGAGTTCCATTCAAAAATCTCCTCGGTGGTTGCTTTCTTGTTGCCTTCTAGGAAACTAGAAGAACAAAATAGGTTATAGTTAATATCTTCTAAGATCCAGTGAAGTCGTCCACAATATCGGTGATGTGCTAGCGCATGCTTAAGGTCTTTGTCATGCTTCAAAATCCACTCCATCTGACCACATGATTCATTGAGGATCCAAACTCCAAGCCAACACTCACGTTGAGGCCAAGACCTATCAAATGCCACAAAGTACACCCCCTTTTTTGATCTTACAATCTCGACATATGGAAAATGGTGTGCTCTGGTATCCACCACAGGTGGTTTAATTAAGCTGTACATATTATTAGACAATGATATCCTGCAGAATCATATCAATGTGCAAAACTGCTTTAAAAAGTGTAAGATAAAAGTGACATGGAATATAAACGAAGAAACCACGTACCTCATAATTAAATCAGCTCTACAGTGTACATAAAGTGCTCCCCGATAATAGACACCGTTGGATCGCCCGTAACCCACTCGCATTTCACTGACAATCCCTGTAGCACCCCCTTCTCGGAAGAAATACTTCTCCTCCCAACAACCCGACTTTGATGAGAATACATACATCTTGCATAGGGATGGTGGCCATTCAGATTCCTCCATCGAGGGGTCTACCTCATTTTCAGAATGGTAGTCATCCAAATGGGGGGTCATAAACACCTCGTAGTACGGTGATACCATCGGATCATAGACCAGATGACCACTGTACCACACATTTCCTGTGCCATCCTTGGGAGCAGGGCACGGTGGCAAAGCACTCCAGCATCGGGTGGCAGGATTAACCACCCGGTTACTGCGAAGCAAGAGGAGCCCATTGCAGTGATCATCGATGTTATAGTCACGCCAATCATCGCAGTCGTCGTCCCATATAGTGCCGGCATGAGGGGTGGTGGAGGGCAGGAAACTGAGGTTGCCGCTGATGGCGGGGGCGCCAGCCACGGAGGAGGGGCGGGCGAGGAATTCGGGATACTTGTGCTCGTCGAAGTGGACGAAGAGGCCGGCGAGCGAGAGCGGGAGCATGTCGGCGCGCAAGAGGCCGCGCGCATCGATGGCGTCGCGCCAGGCCGTGCAGACGCAGCGGGAGGCGGCGATCCAGCGCGGCGGGACGCGACGGAGGACTTCGGCGAGCACATCCTCGGGCAGGGGCGCCGGCTGTCGCTCCTCGCCACGAGCGGCGGCTGTGTCCCCGCCGCTCGCGTCGACAGGATTCACCTCGTCGCCGGCCATCGCCTCGCCGCGATAGTGCGGTCCAGGGCTTCGACTCGGAACCCTCGGGAGGCAACATTATAGCGCCGGTGATGGGGCGTCGGCCCGCGGACTGGGGTTCTGAGGACGCCGCCGTGACGATGGGGAGTGGAATTCGGAGTTGGGCAAAACCGCAAAAGGAGGCGGCAGCGGTGGCTTTGGTGGCTTCAGAAATGGGGAACGGGTAAACTTGTACTATTCCCCTTTTTCTTAGTGACGAAGGAATGGGTGTGGCTTGGGCTGAAGCTCCTGGCAAGCCCAGCACAGCCCCCAGGTGTGTACTTTGGCTGGGCTCCCCTAAAAAAACAAATTGGGCTGGGCTGGATTCGAATCGGTTTGAGTGCTCCCGGACTCCTCCTGTGCACTGCTAAAAATATGAAATAATTCCAGCACTAATATGACATTATTTCATAAAATTTCAGAACCAGAGTCAATACGTATATATATTTAAAAAATGATAGCCCAATCCTAACTAGCTAACATTTGTAGTCATATTTGTCTTTACTTCATGGCAATTTTTATCCTAGAGTTTTGTTCCAAATTTTGATTTGAATTTCTATGACATGATTGACAAATGTTCTATCTATGTTTTCTTTTTTTCTTAAAAATATCTGAGACTCTTCATGATTAGGTTTCCAAGTTTGATGATACTGGGAATACCTCGATGTTTGTATAATATAGTATACAATTCTCAGGTTGGTTGTCATGTATCGACCGAGACATAATCAAATCTTGGTCGACTAAGATTTAGTAAGGATTGACCTTTTTCCTAATCAATGAATTTGGCAATTTTAACCCTAGGAGCATTCCCTGGAAACTATCTACTTGGTATTGCCCTCAAGTTTCGCCTGATTTTTGTTGTCGAATTCCAAGACATGAATAAAATACAAACATTCCCTATGATTTGTAGCATTGCCCATTTCTCCTTTTTTTTCTCTTTGTATACTTACAATATTCTTCCCCAAAATTTCAGCAACAAAATAGAGGTTTGGTGACCTCGCTTTCTAACTACACTCAGTCACCATGTGTTTAGCGATTTTAGGTTCTCACCCATTGGAGTTGGGCTCACATAACTTTCCAAAATTATGAGGTTAGGTTAGCTTGTGCAGTTTTGCTCTTTTACGGTTTCTTCATCAAAAGATTGGACAAACATCGAGGTGCAAAAAATTGAAGCTAGTATTGACAATTCTGAAGGAACATGGTCTAATATTTTGTTTTATTAGGTTGTACGTTTTTCTTTGTCTTCTGTGTGTTTTGCTTACTTGATGAATAAAGTCGGATCTTTTTCATAGGAACAACAAAGAAAAACTATTAGCCTCTTGAGTTAACCTTGGAATACATAAAATCCTATTTAAGGTATATGTTTCCTACTTATTCTCTTCGAACCACGAAAAAAGTGATGTTTGGGATATTGATATAATCTTTAAGATTTGACTTTGACCAGCTACAAGAATGTGAAATTTGGTGGAAAGGATCTATTTGATTGGTTGAGGGGGGAGAAACGAAGAGGTATCCACTTACAGGTGGCAGTGGTGGGTAATTTCCACCCAACTCCAGCTTCTAGAGTTTCTTGGAGCACCCTTGAAGAGCTTCATGAAAATTTGGGAGTTGTACCCCAGATTCTAGTTTTTTTGCGAAGCGGTATATCGTGGAGCTACCCCGTTTGGCTTCTGTTTTTTGGAGCGGAGCTGAATTTTAAGAAGCAGAGCGGTCCCAAACAAGCTCTTACAGTATAAACTTAATTGCATATCTTATCGAATGCCTCTGGAAGGATACTTCTAATATAATTTTGTGACAATGTATATAAAACTAATAAAAGTGCCCGTGCGTTGCAACGGAAGAAGAAAGTACCACACGACCCTAACCCAATAACCAGGACTCAATATCCTAATAGGTCTTGCCGAGGCGTCTCTCTATCTGAGCATAAAATGAGAAATCTGCGAATATCCAATTCTGAGCCCGGGCTCATCTGCACCCGGTCAAGAAATAATTCATAAAAAATTCAAAAAAATCCAAAAATTTTGTGCATGGTAGATAATTTGGTGCGTGAGGTGCGCTTCAAATTTCAGAGCATTTGGACATTTGAGTAGCTCTCAGCAAAAAAGACAAATTGGGTCAGAATAGTATACAAACATTACACTGCGAATATCCAATTTTGTCTTTTTTGCCGAGAGCTACTCAGATGTCCAAATGATTTGAAATTTGGACCGGACATCACTCACCAAATTATCTACCATGCCAAAAAAAGGAATTTTTTTTTTGAATTTTTCTAGTATTTGTTTTGATTTTTTTTATTCAGCGCAGGTGCAGATGCTCCTCGGAGCCAAAACGCCTCACTCGAGAAATCTGCTTTTTCTCATGCAAAATTTTGCAAAGGCGTGCATGCATGTTATCGACGTTTTCTTTTTTTTCTTTCTCAATTTGGATTTGTTGAGGAGTTCATTTGTAAACATGTGTGGGACAGTGGATGGGGGCGGTCATTCAACCCGGTGCACCAAATGTTGTAGTCGTGCCAATCACTGTCATCATCGTATATATTGCCGGCATGAGGGGCAGTGGAAGGCAGGAAGCTGAGGTTGCCGCTGACCGCACCTGCGGACGGACGAGCAAAGAATTCGGGATACTTGTGGTCGTCGAAGTGGACGAAGATGCCAGCGAACGAGAGCGGGAGCATGTCGGCGCGCAGGAGACCATGTGCATCGATGGCATCGCGCCAGGCCCTGCAGACACAGCGGGAGGCAGCGACCCAGCGCGGCGAAGGATGTCGGCGAGCACGTCCTTGGGCAAGCATGCCAGCTGGTCCTCCCTGCCGTTGACACGAGCAGCCTTCAGTGGCTTGTCCTCGTCGGCGGCCATCGTATTGCCTACCGTGATGATTTTCGATCTGGAAGCCCTTGATTGATTGGGATTTTAGTTCTCGAGGAGACTGCGGGGGTGTTATGAGATGATGGGCGTCGGTATGGAAAGCCGTCTGGAACCACGAGGAGAAGTCCTCGTACACATACAGTTCAATTTGTTGGGGAACGTAGCAATAATTCAAAATTTTCTACGCATCACCAAGATCAATCTATGGAGATTCTAGAAACAAGAGAGGGAGAGTTTGATTTGATCTTCATACCCTTAAAGATCGTGATGCCGAAGCGTTACAAGAACGCGGTTGGTGGAGTCATACACGCAGCGATTCAGATCGCGGTCGATACCGATCTAAGCGTTGAACGGACGGCGCCTCCGCGTTCAACACACGGACAACCCGAGGACGTCTCCTCCTTCTTGATCCAGCAAGGGGAGAGGAGAAGTTGAGGGAAAACTCCAGAAGCACGACGGCATGGTGGAGATGGAGCTCGTGGTTCTCCGGCAGGGCTTCGCCAAGCACTACGGAGGAGGAGGAGGTGTTGGAGGAGGGAGGGGTTGCGCCAGGGTCAAGGGTGTGGCTGCCCTCCCACCCCCTCACTATATATAGGGGGAAGGGGAGAGGGGGTCGGCCCCTCCAGATGGATCTAGAGGAGGGGGCGGTGGCCAGGGGAAACGCTAGATGGGTTTGGGCACCCCCACCCCTTAGGAAACTTGCCCCCCAAGCCGGGAAGGGAGGCTGCCCTAGGGGTGGCGCCCCTACCTCTCCAAGTTACGTGAGATGGGGTGGGAGGGGCGCTCAGCCCCTTAGTGGGCTGATGTGCCCCCTCCCCTTGGCCCATAAGGCCCCCAACACTTGCCGGGGCCTCGAAACCCCTTTCGGACACGCTGGTCATTACCTGGTACCCTCGGAACAATTATGTACTCCAATACCCTTCGTCCAATATATCGACCTTCACCTCCGGACCATTCCGGAGCTCCTCGTCACGTCCGGGATCTCATCCGGGACTCCGAAAAACCTTCGGTAACCACATACTATTTCCCATAACAACTCTAGTGTCACCAAACCTTAAGTGTGTAGACCCTACGGGTTCGGGAACCATGCAGACATGACTGTGACATCTCTCCGGCAATAACCAACAGCGGGATCTGGATACCCATGTTGGCTCCCACATGTTCCACGATGATCTCATCGGATGAACCACAATGTCGAGGATTCAAGCAATCCTGTATACAATTCCCTTTGTCAATCGGTACGTTACTTGCCCGAGATTCAATCGTGGTATCCCAATACCTCGTTCAATCTCGTTACCGGCAAGTCACTTTACTCATTCCATAATGCATGATCCCGTGACTAACTACTTAGTCACATTGAGCTCATTATGATGATGCATTATCGAGTGGGCCCAGAGATACCTCTCTGTCATACGGAGTGACAAATCCCAATCTTGATGCGTGCCAACCCAACAGACACTTTCGGAGATACCTGTAGTGCACCTTTATAGCCACCCAGTTACGTTGTGACATTTGGTACACCCAAAGCATTCCTACGGTATCCGGGAGTTGCACAATCTCATGGTCTAAGGAAATGATACTTGACATTAGAAAAGCTCTTAGCAAACGAACTATACGATCTTGTGCTATGCTTAGGATTGGGCCTTGTCCATCACATCATTCTCCTAATAATATGATCCCGTTATCAATGACATCCTATGTCCATGGTCAGGAAACCATAACCATCTATTGATCAATGTCGTGGTTCTAAGTCTGATAGTAGAATAGGGGTAGTATAACGGAGCATGATCTATCGAGATGCATATGGGTGACACGGTGGTTTTAGCGAGTTCGGGCCTCTCACGGTGGAGATAACAACCCTACGTCTCGTGCTCCGGAGAGGCTTTGTTTTATCTGAGTATATATCCGGAGATTACAATGTGTGTGAGAGAGAGGAACGGATCCCCATGCCTGAGCTAAGTCCTGAGACTAATGGTGAAAAGAGAGAGAGGTGGAAGAAGAGCCCCCTTGTCTAGTGGTGGGGGGTGGCTTATATAGAGTGCGCCACCCCCTCACCTCCTATGTTACAAAGTGGGGTATGAATGCCATAATGCCAGCCCGCTATTAAGCCCTCACTA